TAACGACTAGTATTTAGAGTCTATAAAGAAGTCTTACAACAAAACAGGCAAAAAAAATCCAATTTAAAACTCTCTCTCTCTCTCTCTGCAGTGCTGAAGCTCAAGCTCAGGGCCTCACTCATGCAAGGCAAGTGTGCTACCACTAAGTGACACCCTGACCCTAAAAATCCAGTTGAAAAGTGAAAATCAGACAAGGATTGGAATACACATGTCTCAGAGGAGATACAGGTACCACCAATAAGAACAAGAAAAGATGTTCAACATTACTAACCACCAGGGGAATGCAAACCAAAACCACAGTGAGAAACCACACTCACTAGAATGGTCATAATAAAATAAAACCAAGCTAACTGAGCACACACACCCAAGATGGGAGATAGCAAGCACTAGTGACCATAAGATTCAGCAAATGCACCCTGATATCTAGTACAAATGCTTATGGCAGCATCATTCCCACCAAAAAATCAAGGTCAAACGCCCACCAACTAACAAATGGATGAATTTGTTACATCCATACAGTGGAACAATATTCAGCCATAAAAAGGAATAAGGCACTATAACATGGAAATGAAATACTGATATACACTACACTAAGTAAAAGAAGTCAGGCATGTTACATTATTCCTTTTTTTTTTTTTTGCTGGCACTGGGATTTGAACTCAGGGCTGCATCCTTGCTAGGCAGGTGCTCTTATCACTTGAGCCACTCTGCCAGCCCTGTATGATTCCATTCATATGAAATGCCTCACAAAGGAAAATCCACTGAGACACAAAGTAGGCTGGTGGTTTCTGAGGGCTGTGGAAGATTGAAAAGGTAGGGAGAGCCAGGTGCCCATGATCCACTCCGGTAATCCTAACTACTTGCTTCTCAAGAGGCAGAGATCAGGAGGATCGCTGTTCAAAGCCAGCCTGGGCAAATAGTTTGTCAGATCCTATCTTGAAAAAACCCATCACAAAAACAGGGCTGGTGGAGTGGCTCAAATGGCAGAGCATTTGCCTAGCACATGGAGGCCCTGAGTTCAAACATCAGTACCACCAAAAAAAGTTTGAGGCCAACTTAGACAACACAGTGAGACCCTGTCTCAAAAAAGCATGGGGTGGGGGAGGGAAGCAGAGGTGTGGCTCAAGTGGTTCAGGGCTGATCTAGCAAGCTGGAGGCTCTGAGTTCAAAATCCCAATACAACAAAAAAGGTTTTAAAACTTATATTTAGTGCTGAGGAGATTGTTCACACACAGACACATACATACGGCTGATGTGTAAAACAGACAAAACCTTTCAGAAAATGTGACTTCCAATAAACCCAGAAAATGCTCCTCCCTACAAACTCCACTTTTGAGAATGCATCCTGAAGAAAGACTCCTATACAAAGAGTCTAATTCACGAGGGTTACACTAGTAATAATACATGCAAACAAACTAAAGGGCCAACATTAATAAAATGACTAAATAATTTGTACAAGTCATCCATTGCTGTGGAATATTATGTATTTATCAAACAAAACCTATTTTTTAAAAATCCACAGCAAAAAAGTTCTTGGGCAGATGAGGATATTCATAAGTTTGTTGAAGAAGAAAAGCATATATGAATAAGTTTTGAAAAGGAAAAGAATAATCAGTGGTTCTAAAAGTGTGATTCCAAGAACAGTAGCATTGTGTGTGAGTGCACACGTGTGCTTATGCTTCACTATGTATTCCTCAGCACTGGATATAACCATTTTAAATTCTTTCCCAAGTGAGTGAAAAAGCATTAGCAGAGCATGTGACATAAATGTGTATTCCTAGTCCCTACCTGACATGTCCACAATCAGAGACCTGGGAATGGGCCCAGCAATCCGTATATGTATATATATAATATACACATATACACCTTGAACCACTCCACCAGTCCTTTTTTTGTGATGGGCTTTTTTGAGATAGAGTCTCTTGAACTATTTGCCTGGGTTGGCTTTGAACCACAATCCTTCTGATCTCTGCCTCCGAGTAGCTAGTACCACAGGCGTAAGCCACTGGTGCCTGGCGGCAATCTGTATTTTAACAAGCCATTGGGCACATTGTAAAGTTTGGGACCAGCTGCTATAAGGCAGTATAAGACGTCAAAGGTAGGATTCAAATCACAGCAGAGGTGGCTTTCTTATGAGGGGTTGACAATGTTTCCTTATGACAATGTTTCTACAGTACCTTATGAAATCCTAACACTATTATTATCCCCGTTTGACAGATCAGGAAATTGAGGTGCAGAGACAAGTGACTTACCCAAGATCACAGACCTGGTGAGTGGTAGGGGTGGGACTTAAAAGTCAGGATTCTCTGACTCTAAAGCCTGTGCTGTCAAACAGCTGAATGGGGTCCTCAAACACACAGAAGTGATGGGCTGTGCTCAAGGGGCCCTGGGTGTCCACTATTTTTAACCATGTATGAGATTTTGTTGGCATTTGATATATATACAAGGGTCCCTGTTGCATTATCCTTCACCCTGAGTAAGAATATTTACTAACTACATTTTTTTTGTGGTACTGAGTTTTGAACTCAGGGCCTTATGCTTGCTAGGCAGGTGCTCTACCACTTGAGCCACTCCACCAGCCCTTTTTGTGTTGGGTATTTTTAAGATAGAACTATTAGCCCGGGTTGGCTTTCAACTGTGATCCTCCTGATTTGTGCCTCCTGAGTAGCTAGGATTATAGGAGTGAGCCACCAGCACCTTCCTACATTCCTATATTCTTTTTTTTTTTTTTTTGGCAGTACTGGGCTTCCTTGCTAGCCAAGCGCTCTACCACTTGAGCCACTCTGCCAGCCCCTACATTTATTCTTAATGCATAATATTTTTTTCTCAAATTATAATTTCATTCCCAACACTTATTTTTGAGACAGGGTCTTTGTTGCTAAGGCTGGCCTTGAATTCTTGGGCTCAAGCAATTATCCTGCCTCAGGTTCCCAAGTAGCTAGGACTACAGGTATGAATCACCACACCTGTCTGGGTGTTCATTTTAAACTAAAATAGTTACGTGTGTATAGAACGAGCTGTAGAAAATAACTAGCATTTCAAACTCATGATTTCAATGGTAACATTGTTTCCCTTTAAAATAACTGATTTTATTAAGCTGGTAAGAATAAATACTATACTTGATCTTGGGCCAAAAGGCTAAGAAACAATACAAATAACTGAATTTATATTATTAGTTGTTTTAATGAAAATATGAAAGTACAGTCAGGCACAGACATGGCAAATACAGTAGAAATGGTAACATGATGTGTGGGAAGTACTGCTACCAAGTACTGTAAAAATAAGTAACAATTTGTACATTTTACCATATATAAATTGTACCTTAAGTAGGTCTGTAAAAGCTGAGCATGGTTATTCATGCTTATAATCCTAGCACAGGGAAGGCAGAGGCCAAATGATCAAGAGTTCAGACTGATGGAGTGACTCAAGTGGTAGAGCACCTGCCTAGCAACCATGAAGCCCTGAGTTCAAACCCCAGTTCCACAAAAAAAAAAAAAAAAAAAAAGAGTTCAAGGTCAACCTGGGCTGCATAGGGAGACCATGTGTCAAAAAGCCAACACCAACCAACCAAAGGACTATAAAATAATACTGAGCTTGCTGGGTGTGGTGTCTCCTGCTTGCAATTCCAGCTACCTGGAGACTTAGGCAGGAGGATCTTGAGTTCCAGGCCAGCCTGAGCGATGAAGTGAGACTCTGTCTCCAAATAAAATAAAGGGCTAGGGGTGTGGCTCAAGTGGTAGAGTGCCCGGGTAGAAATGATAAGGTTTTGAGTTCTAACCCCAGTACTGCAAAATAAGTAATTTTTTTTTAAAAAAAAGGTCTGTGAGTATAGATTGGTAGCAGAGCACTAGCCTGTTATATGGAGGCACTGGTTCAAACCACAGAAGTCATACTGCAGGAAAAAAAAAGCAAAGACTGGATCCAAGCACATGATACATGTGCCAAAGTCTTCAGAAGGCTAAGTACTGAGGTCGCCCTCTCTGCAATGTGTCTCAAGCACAGGAAGGAATGGTGAATGGGTTGGTTTGGATGGAGGACTGGGCACCGAATAAAGCAAGGAGAGCACAAGGTTGATTGTAAGATGCCAGGTGGTATGGCCACAGTACAAGGCTGTCAACTTCTGTTTGACAACTTTCATGTTGGGAAAAAATGTCTATAGATGGTCCCATACAATAAACTAATGTCTGAATAAATATGTCTGAATAAGTAGATAAAGCCTCAAAGAATGAAGAATTGGGCCTAGTGGTGCATTGCTATAATCTCAGTACACAGGAGGCAGGAGGATTAAGAATTTAAGGCTGGCCTGGCTACACAGTAAGAACCTGTCTCCAAAAAATAAATAAATAAATAAAAGACAAGGAGTTGGGGATTTAGCTCAGTGGAAGAGCCCTTGTCTGGCAAGTGCAAGGCTCTGAGTTCAGTCCCCAGCACCAGGAAAAAAATAAGTAACAGCCAAAAAAAAAAAAAATCAACCCCCACCCTCCCAAAAAAAAAAGACTGGTTGGAAATCTGAAATGCTTTCTTTATACACAAATGAATTCATGTATGTTTATATACATACATGTGTACGCACACAACACATACCCACACCCACATACACACATATATAAGTTCTAAAGTGGGCTTGTGTAATTTTTAATAAAGACATTTTTTTTCACATGAAAGCAATGCTAGGAATCTCTCTGTATAGCTGTCCTTATCTCAAATAGCAAAAACGCTATGTCTTTCTTATTATTGCTTATGTCTACTATTCAATGGAACTGGAGAAAAGTGCAGAACAGATTCTGCCTGGAAGGGAGGGCAGGTCAGGGGGAGAAAGTGGGGGCAGGGGCAGGAGGGAGAAATGACCCAAACAATGTATGCACATGTGAATAAATGAATAAAAATAAAAAAATTAAAATTAAAAAAAATAAAATCCCCAAGTCCATCAAAAAAAAAAATGAATGAATTTTTTTTCAGCAAGAAAAACTGCACAAAGAGGAGAAGTGATAGAACAGGCATTTATTCAAAGGGCCCAAGGCTGAGACAGGCGTGGGAGGAGACAATGGGTGTCCCTTGCTGAAGGGGATAAGGTCTGAGCTCTTCTTCCCATACCTATCCCTGCAGGGAAGGCCTGGAGCTTCCTGTGTGTCCTCAGGTCACTATGTCCTGTGTCATGGGAGGTGGCAGAGGAAGTCATGCAGCTGTAAGGCCAGAGCCCCTGACAGGGAGATCCCCAAGGTGTCAGAGATACAGGCAGCAGCCATGGCAAATTCCCGGTGCTCCTCGCGAGTCTGAGAGGAAAGGACAGAGAGCAGGGGTGAGGCTTCCGTCCTAGAGATCGCTGCCCAGGACTCCCCCAGAAAGACTGCCAATAGCCCCAGCTGGTGCTGACCTCTAGAGCAATGTTGTGGAAGGTGTTCACATATGCCGATCCCCCCAGGAGTCCCTCATACAGAATGATCAAGAAGACAAGGTAGATGCTCGGCAAGAAACTCAGGCACACGTCTGCTAGCAGGAAGGCCAGGTTGAGGCACTGTGGGCACAGGGGCGGAGGAGGCTGAGCCTAGGGCAGGAAGGGAGGCTGAGTTCTCACCCAGGGGCCCCTGGTTCTGAGAGTCACTGGCAAAGGAAGGGGATAACAGGCCTGGATAACATCCCAACACACAGTGGGGCCAACCAGATTCTGAGGTCTATAGTGGCTTTCCCCAACCTTATCCCCAGTACCCTCCACCTTGGGGGTTCCTCACCTCTGCTCCCATCACTCTTAGGCCTGGAATGTTCCTCCATCTCTCCTCTCCTGGGATCTCAGCTTGGATCAGGGTGACTCCCACTCCCGTGATCTCATTTTCTTTTTCCCAGGGCTCCTTGACCAGAGCATCCCTCCCTCCCCCTTTTAACAGACTGAGTAGCCCAGGGGACATTTGGAAGCTTTCTTTGGTTGTCACAATGGGGATATACCACTGGCGTCTAGTTGGTAGAGGCCAGGTATGCTGCTAAGCCCCCCACAGTGCACCGGATGCCACGCCACAGAATTATCTGGCTCAGTGTTAAGAGCACAGAGAGTGAGAAGCCCAGGTTTAGATGTTCCTACCTCTTTGAGGAAGCAGGTGACACTGCTCAGATAAATAAGGTCAGATGCTTATAAGCTTTGTCATAACATCAAAGTGTAATCTATACTACTTCTGTATCTCATTATCACAGAATTTTTTTGTACTGCATTTTGAACTCAGAGTTTTATCCTTGCTAGGCAGGTGCTCTATCACTTGAGCCATACTCCAGCCCTTTTTCCTTTTGTTATCTTTCAAATAGGGTCTCCCATTTATGCCTGGGCCAGCCTGGACCATAATCCTATTTACATTTCCCACCTAGCTGGGATGACAGGTCTGTGCCATCATGCCCAGCTTTTATTGGTTGAGATGGGGGTTTTGCAAACTTTTTGCCCGGGCTGGCCTTGAACCATGATCCTCCCAATCCCACCTCCTGAGCAGCTAGGATTATAGGGGTGTACCACCACACCTGGTTGAGTTCTAAAATTTTAAGAGCAAGGGACTTTCCTATAACCCAGAGTGTAGATTCCTTATATGACACACTGGGACCAGAAATGTTTGGGATTTCAGATGTTTTCAGATTTTGGAATAAGTGCCACTCCTCCAGTCCTCTATACAGTATTTTCAATAGTTTTGTGCATGAAACAGTTTCATGGTGGGGAATTTTCCATTTGTGGTATCATGTCAGTCCCCAAAAAGCTGCAGATTTTATAGCATTTTGGGTTTCTATTTTCAGACAAGGGATGCTCAGCCTGTATTTGAAGTTTATTTAAACCATTACCTTTTGGGCTGGTGGAGTGGCTCAAGCGGTAGAGTGCCTGCCTAGCCAGCGTGAGACCCTGAGTTTAAACCCCAGTGTGGCCAAAATAAAAAACACAAAACACAGTTACCTTCAGGCTATAAACTTGTAACCTTGAAAAGAATGAATGTTGCTCCTGAGAACCTGCTTTTGCTACATGGTGGAGAATGGTGACTGTTCACTAAAAACGACAGACTCTTGCCAAGGTCAGTTGAATTTGCTCACCTGCAATTACTTACTGAGAAAAAGAACCCCTTGGCCACAATGTCACGACTCTATTATAACTGACCATCCAGAATAAAAAAAAAAAAAAAAAGAACATGTTCTTATTACATGGAAACATTATCTGAAATGAGGCAGGTACAAATCATTAATCATGTGCTTTGAGGTCTGGGGATGTGGCTCCTGTGACAGAGCACCTGCTTAGCATGTGCAAAGGGGTTCAACCAACTGAACCCTGGAATTCAATCCCCAGTACCTCCAAAAGAAGAAAGCGCTTCAAGGAATTAAAAAACAGCACAAAAAGGGGTGGCGGAGTGGGTCAAGTGACAGAGCACCTGCCTAGCAAGGATGAGACCCTGAGTTCAAACTGCAGTATTGCCAAACAAAAAAAGAAAAGAAAAAGAAACTTTTAAATTTTAGCCTGCAGAGGGTGGCTCATGCCTATAATCCTAGCTACTCAGAAAAGCAGAAATGAGGAGGACCGAGGCTTGAAGTCAGCCTAGCAAATAGTTTGGGAGACCCTAGCTCGAAAAAAATCCATCACACACACACACACACACACACACACACACACACACACACACACACCCCACAAACTCTTGGTCCTCCATTCTTCTTCTCATCACTATTTCTTACAAGTACCCTGAGAAACAGATATTGCCTACGTCTGTTTATTTTTTGTGGTGCTGGAGGTTGAACCCAGGGCCTTGTAGATGCTGGGCAAACACTCTGCCACTGAGCCACATCTCAGCCCCCAATCTGATTAATAGATGAGGAAATCGAGGCTCAGAGATGTTCAGAGACTTGCCCTGAGTCACAGTTACTGAGTACAGAAGCTGGGATTCGCCTGGCTCCTGAAACCACACATTTTACATGGAGCCCTGTCAGCCTTCAGTCCTTGTGTTAGAAATGCTGCTGTACAATAAACTCTTTCTGCTGAGGGATGGAGGCAGGGGCCTGGGGAAGCTGGGAGCACAGGTGAGGGCTCTATACCTGCAGCAGGGCCAGGACCCAGGTGTAACGGATGTGACAGCAGCGGAGAGAAGAACGGGAGGCAAAGACGCCTGCCTGGTACAGCATCTGGTACCTGAGGAGGGGCAGGGAGTAGGAGAACGCTCCTCTGGGTGCCTAGTGAGCAGGGCAGTCCCTGTCACCCCAGGTTTCCGACTTCAAGGGGCCCTCCCAGCCCACTGTCCACCTGCCACCAGCCCTGAGTCCTCTCACCAGCGGTACTGCTGAGCGTGACTCAGGGACGTGTTCCGGAAAAACAGGAGCTCAAACTGCAGCAAAGACCAGATGGGGAAATGGGTGGGGATGTGTGGGTCTCTAGTCCCGTGGCTCCTTCCACTCCCTCCCGACAGCCCTCACTCACAAGTCCCTGGTTGATGAAGTACTCAGCAAAATAGACCAGCACCAAGGGGATGATGTGGGACAGCAGACCCTGGGGGAGTCGAAGAGGTAAGTGCAAGACCAGAAACAGGCGCCACCCGCAGGGCACAGGCCGCCAGCAGCACCGTCCCAACCTTGAACACAGTCCACCTTTCCTGGAGGGAGAGGTCCCAGCTGGAGCCTGCAGGGGGCAGGAAGAGGAGGGATGAAGTTGGCAAACTGGAGACTCAGCCAGGAGTGCCAGCGTGCAAGAAGCAAGCAGCACCACACCACCATTTACACTGAAATGCCACCGGGCTCCACACTTAAAACTCGTTAAGATGGTGTAGCTAGGTGGGAGAGCATTTGGCCTGGCATGTGCAAGGTTTTGGGTTCAATTCCCAGCACCTCAAAAAAAAAAAAAAAAAAGAAAGAAAGAAAAGGCACGTAGCTCAGTAGTAGAGTGTTTGCCTAGTACACAAGGGCCTGGGTTCCATCCCCAGCTCTGCAAAAACAAAACACCTCCTTATAGCTTTTGTGCAACTCAATAGACCTGTCTATCTGTCTATTCCATCCCAGCCTCACTGGCTCTTCTATTTCTGTACAGCCAAGCTCTTTCCCACCACAGGGCCTTTGCACATGCTGTTTTCTCTGCCTGGAACCTGTTCACCACCAGCTTGTCTTCTTGTCAGTCAAGTTTCAGTGCAAACATCAATCATATCCTCTAAAAAGTTCTCCTTTGAAGTAGAACCCACTCTACAGTACAGCCCCTAATCTCTCCCCACTCCCGCTAGTGCTGTTTTATGTCCTGCTGGCCCTTATCAATAGGTGAAAATGGCTTGTATTTGACTCAGGGGCTTGCTAATGAACCTGTCTGGGTTTCACTCTCTGGGCACCTCTGTCCTCAGGGTTTGGAAGGTCTGACACATAATCAGGATTCAGTGGATACTTTTTTTTTTTCTTTTTCTTTTTTTGCAGTACTGGTGTTTGAATTCAGGGCCTACACCTTGAACCACTCCATCAACCCTTTTTTATGACGAGTTTTTTTGAGATAGGGTCTCATGAACTATTTGCCCAGGCTGGCTTCACACCACAATCCTCCTGATCTCTGCCTCCTGAGTAGCTAGGATTACAGTGTGAGCCACCGGCACCCAGCTCAGTGGATGCTTTTGATCGTGCGCTATATACCCACCTTAGTCTTCTCTACTGTGTCCAGTGCACAAAGAAGAAGACTCCCACCCCAAGAGAGAAAACGACCTGTCAGGGAGTCTGCAGCTCCTACCTGGCTTCCACTCCTGGGCCTCGGTGCCTATGAGGGGTTGCCGAGCTGCGGTCTCTGCCTCATCTTCCCCTCCTGGGTCCTGGGGCTCAGGAGATGTGAGCAACAAGAAATAGCTGAGGTGGAGCAGAATGAAGACAGTCAACGAGCCCCCTGTCCGACAGGACAGGCTCCCAGGGCATCCCCACATGGGTGAGCTTCCAATGATGGGCAGTTCACTTCCTCAAAGGCACTGCCTTTGGCAAATGCTTCCTTCTTTGGTGCCAAACTTTGTCCCCTTATTTCAACTCAGGCCCTTATCTGGCTGCTGTGTCATACCAAGCATGTCAGTTTTTTTGAGGTTTTTCTTGTCATTATTAGTCTGACTGCTCTCATTGTTATCTATGAACGTTCCTTTTTTTTCTTTTTTTGGCAGCACTGGGATTTGAGTTCTGGGACTTGCACTTGCTAGCCAGGTGCTCTCCCATTTGAGCCATGACCTTAGCTCACTTACTTTCTTTTTTCTGACTATGTAGTTCAGTGTAGCCTTGATCTTGCAACTTGTGATTTTCCTGTCTTAGTGTCCTGTGACATAGTCACTTCCCAAATATTAGTCACTTATGCTCTGGTTTTGTGTCATTTGCCATATTCACATTCCTCCTGGATACAATTTTTTTTTTTTTTTTGCTGTACTGTTGTGTGAACTCAGGGCCTATACCTTAAGCCACTCCACCAGCCCTTTTTTGTAATTTTTTTTTTTTTTGAGATAGAGTCTCACAAACTATTTGCCCAGGCTGGCTTTGAACCATGATCCTCATGATCTCTGCCTCCTGAGTACCTAGGATTACAGGCGTGAGCCACCAGCACCCAGCTTTGGATAACTTTTCCTTCGCATTGACTTTATTTTTTTGAGACAGGAGTTTGCTACGCTGGCCTAGAACACACTATGTAGCCCAGGCTGGCCTCTAACTTTGATCTTCCTGCCTCAGCCTCCTAGAGCTATGATTATAGGCATACTTGACCATGCTTGGTGTGACTCCTTTTTTCTGCCTGGCCTTGTCCTAATATGTGAAGTCACAGGTTCAACTGGCTAGTTAATAGTTTCCTATGAAAATCCACACAAAATGAGTCAATCAAAGTCCATCCTTGTCCTACTACAAATCTTGATAACCTCACTGCACTGAATGCATTATACTCGTCACCTCATGGGACTGCAAGGAGGAACTGCCACCATTTGCGATATGGGAAAACTGAAGACCAGAGAGGTGAAAGAACTTGTCCAGTACCACACAACTAAAAAATGTAAACTCCAAGACTCAACTCAAGGCTGTAATGATCTCAAGATTGGGATCATGATCAAGTCTACCCTCCTCCTACCCCCCTTCCTTCTGATTCAGGGCTGCTCACCTGGCCAGTAGCAGGGCAGGGATCCCCAGCATGGAGAGCAGGGTATGCTGGGGGGAGAGGCCAGCCTGGGTAAGGCCCAGGTAGGACAGGGCCCCCAGCAGGCCTGCTCCCCCAGTGCCTGAGGACCACCAGGAGATCACAGCCCTGGAGGAGAATGCAGGAGTACTCAGGAGGACTGAAGCCAGCAGACGGACGCCTCTCCCCTCACTCCTGCCTTGCCCACTTACCTGGGGTAGAAGGCGGTGAGTGAGAGGAAGGTGACCTCCCCCAGACCTGATGAAATGCTGGCCAAGACCACACCTGGGAGGGCAAAAATCAAAAGGCAGCCATTCCCTTACAGCCCCAGTCCCCAGAGGTGTCTGACCACAGCCTCGACTGCATCAGCTCAGAGGAGCCAAAAACAGATCCCTTGGCCAGGCTGGGCTCAGACATGAAGTAGATTCAACCCCCTCTTCCACACATCCTAGTACAGTGAATAGTCCCTTCTTTCACTCAGTTATACACCCAGGAGCAAGGACCCACCCTTCTCATCTCCTCCAGCCCCATGGTAGAGTCTTATAAAGTCTTGCCTCAGCTCAATCTCCACCCGATCCACCCACTTTCTCCCACTGACCCCTCTACATTGCCCCCATCTCCCATTTCCTGCTTGTGGCAGCCCTAGCAGGCTTCTGAGGCTACAGAAATAATCCTTTTCCTCCAGAAGGTGGGAAGACTGGCCCCCTACAAGCATTTTACTGAAGTTCCTCTGGGCCCGTCCACCTGATGTGGAAATGCACACTCACCGCACAGGCTGGTCCACACTGAATGAGAAAAGGCCACCAGGACAAAGCTTCCAGCTGAACAAATCCCACTGACCAGGACCCGAGGGCTGAGGATGAGGGAGGGATGCAGAAGGTTGGCCTTCACCGTGGGTTCCCCAGCTTTGAGCATCCCTTCCACCTCCCGCAGTCTCTGACCCCTCCTGCCCGTCCTCCTGACACCACGCCCCAGACCTGTAGGGCAGCAGATGAAGGCCCAGAGGAGCCAGCAATTTGATGACCAGGGTGGGGAGGATGTCAGCAAGGAGCACTGCCTGGGACAGGAGAACAGAGTGAGACCCAAGGCCTTCCCAGGGACAACCCTCCCCACCATGTGGACCCGAAGGAAAGGCAGGAGGAGAACTGCTGCAAATTCAGGTTCTAGAGTCAGATCTGGGCTCACGTCCCAGCTGTGGCACCCTTCACTCTAGCAAGGCATTTATGCACACTGAGCTTCAGTTTCCTCATCTGGAAAACGGGGCTATGTCCAGTCCCTGGCTCAGAGGACTACTGTGTATTACATGAGCTAATTTAACACAGGTCACTCACACAAAGTGCCCAGTAACTGACAGGCCTGATAATCACATCTCTGGAGCTGGAAGGGTCTGGGTGGAGGGGCCACTCGGGTACTCACAGCTGTGGAGACAGAGTTGCAATCGAACCGAGATGAGCTATTGTGGGGAATGGGTGTCGGGCCTGGGTCCACCTGATGGGAGAGAAGGAAGTCTTTTCTCCATGAGGCAGGTGGGCAGACAGAGCCCAGTCTCAGCTTCGGTCAGACTTGAAGGGTGGTGTTGACTTTCTGGGACCTCAGTTTCTCTATGCTCACAATGGGGATGGCAGTGTCCATAGCAGTCTCAGTAAATGGCCTTTGGTAACACAATCAAGAGCTTTCAGATAGACATTTGGGTCTGCAGAAAACGTGATCCTGCTGGACCAGCAAGGAGGTGGCTGCTCCTCTTGGGCACGCACTTTCCTGCTCACTGTAGCAAGTGGGGCTCCATCGGGAGTGATTTTACCCCTGGAGGACATGTGTCAGTATCTGGAGACATTCTTGGTTGTCACTCTTGGTGGCCAAGGAGGTGCTACTGGCATCGAGCCGGCAAAGGCACGGGATGCTGCCAGACATCCTAGGATGCACATCGTGGCCCCACAATAAAGAATCATCCAGCCCAAATGTCAACAGAAACCCTCCCATGGACCACAGTCCTACTCAGTCACTTCTGAGTTTGCTCATCTGGTATCCACCTATCTCTTGAAGACCCCTCCTGCCCCAAGGTTCTGGGAGACTAGACCCTTTCTGTCCTACACCCTTGGCCACTGTCCCAGGGTGAGTCCCTCATCTTCCCACAGGGGCTAAGCATGGTGATGCTGGTGGAGAGGGGCTCACTTACATGGCTCTGGTTCCCAGATGCCTGCTGGTGTCTAAGGATGTCATGGGCAGCACTTAGCATCACTACGTAGGAGAAGTTGTTACAAAGGCCCAGGAGCCTGGAATGAGCAAGACAGAGCTTCACTTCCCGCCAGGCTGCGATCCAGCTGCAGTTCTTGCCACCTCTCCATTACCTAGGCCCTTCAATCCACTCCATCATTCTTTACCACCAAATCCCATCTTCTTTCAGTGTTGGCTTAGAAAGAGAGGCTTCGGGATCAGCGTTGGGTTCACAGCTGAGCTCCAAGACCTCTCCCAGGAATCTGTACTTAACCACTCTCTCTGAACATAAAAACTCAGTTCCTGGGATATTTCTCACTAACTGATGCACTGTGGTACAATAAAACCATCCTAGGGTTAGGCTGGATGCAGTGGTACATTCCTGTAATTTCTGCTACTCAGGAAGTAGAGATCAGGAGGATCACAGTTCCAGGCCAGTCCAGGCAAAAAAAGTTAGTGAGACCCCATCTCAATGGATAAAAGCTGGGCGAGGTAGTTAACACCTGTCATCCCAGTGATGGAAGGAAGTACAAAATAGGAGGATTGTGGTCCAGGTTGGCCTGGGCAAAAAGTAAAACCCTATTTCCAAAATAACCAGAGCTAAAAAGGGCTGGAGGAATGGCTTAAGTAGTAGAGTGCCTGCCTAGAAAGCATGAAGTCTTGAGTTCAAACCCCGTAATATCAAAAAAAAAAAAAAAAAATCCCAGGGCTTGAAACACCAAGGACTATGTTCAAGTTTCAAGTCTACTGCTTCTACTTTCAGTGGCCTCAAGTCTACATATGTATAAAATGGGGACATGAATTGCTCTCCTGATGACCACAAAGAGTGCTGTGGGGATCAAAATAGTAGCAAAGCCTATACCATCCAGAAAGAATCTTGTTAGCTTACTTTTGAAAAATCTTTCTTTCTTGGGTTTGAACTTGGGACCTTGAGTTTGCTAGGCAAGTGCTCTACCATTCAAGCCATGCCCCAGCCCTGTTTCCTTACTTTGAATTCCCAGGGCTGTGCTGTTAGATAGAGAAGAAACCAGGCCCAGTGTTGTAGATTTCCTGTCATTTTCAAAAACCTGTGAAACAGCTCTTCCTATTTTACTGCTGGTGAAAGTCAGGATCAAAGAGGTTAAATTACTCTTCCAAAGAGTCACATGGGAAATCACTTCCAAGCCAACCTGTGATGCCAGTCCTCCGTGTTTAGGCTAACCCTAGAAGGGGTTACCAAGACTCAATACTTAACCGATGATCAGAGATAGATGGATGAGCTTTACAAAGTTTTAGTAGTGCTGCATTTACTTAAAAGCTCATTAAGAAAATACTAGTTTTTCCACACTAAGATTCCACCTCACCCCTGTTAGAAAGCCATCATTAGTAACACCACCACCAACAGGTGTTGGCAAGGATTTGGGGAAAAAGGAACCCTCTTACACTGTTGGTGGGAATGTAAACTAGTACAACCACTCTGGAAAAAAATTTGGAGGCTACTTAAAAAGCTAGACATTGATCTACCATTTGATCCAGCAATACCACTATTGGGGATATACCCAAAAGACTCTGACACAGGTTACTCCAGAGGCACCTGCACACCCATGTTTATTGCGGCACTATTCACAATAGCCAAGTTATGGAAACAGCCAAGATGCCCCACCACTGACGAATGGATTAAGAAAATGTGGTATCTATACACAATGGAATTCTATGCAGCCATGAAGAAGAACAAAATGTTATCATTCGCTGGTAAATGGATGGAATTGTAGAACATCATTCTGAGTGAGGTTAGCCTGGCCCAAAAGACCAAAAATCATATGTTCCCTCATATGTGGACATTAGATCAAGGGCAAACACAACAAGGGGATTGGACTATGAGCACATGATAAAAGCGAGAGCACACAAGGAGGGGTGAGGATAGGTAAGACACCTAAAAAACTAGCTAGCATTTGTTGCCCTCAACGCAGAGAAACTAAAGCAGATACCTTAAAAGCAACTGAGGCCAATAGGAAAAGGGGACCAGGAACTAGAGAAAAGGTTAGATCAAAAAGAATTAACCTAGAAGGTAACACACACGCACAGGAAATCAATGTGAGTCAATGCCCTGTATAGCTATCCTTATCTCAACCAGCAAAACCCCTTGTTCCTTCCTATTAAGGCTTATACTCTCTCTACAACAAAATTAGAAATAAGGGCAAAATAGTTTCTGCTGGGTATTGAGGGGGTGGGGGGAGAGGGAGGGGGCAGAGTGGGTGGTAAGGGAGGGGGTGGGGGCAGGGGGGAGAAATGACCCAAGCCTTGTATGCACATATGAATAATAAAATAAAATAAAATAATACAGTCAAAAAAAAAAAAGAAAAGACTGGTTTTTGCATGTGGGGTAGCAATTTTGAGTTTTCATTTCAAAATCTGTGTATTAAAAAAATGTTGAGGCTGGCTGGGCACCAGTGGCTCATACCTGCAATCCTAGGTACTTGGGAGGCTGAGATCTGGAGGATCGAAGTTCAGGGCCAGCCAGGGCAAACAGTCCCCAAGATCCCATCTCCAAAATAACCACAGCAAAATGGATTGGAGATGTGGCTCAAGCGGTAGAGTGCCTGCTTTGCTAGTGGAAAGCCCTGAGTTCAAACCCTAGACCCACCCCTCTCCTCCCTCACCCAAATGTTGATGCTGAGTTGGTTGGAGAAAAAAATGGAGCAAATAATCCTCCAAGTGATATGCCCAATAAGTGAAGCTAGTAAGCAAATGAGTGAAATTTGGAAAACTCGCAGGCAGCCTCGGGGCAAACCAGTTGACTCAGTAAGTATTTATGGATTCAACTCCTTTTCGCAGCTCTTTTTGTCCCTTTCCTCCTGTCGCATTTTTACTTTTGCAGAACTCTCGGGCCACTCACCAGAATCCCACAGCATTCTTCCAATGGGCACCTTGACCATCCAACAGAGAGGCCTGTGTCTCTGGGGTGGTTTCCTCCCCTGAGAAGAAGAGAAGTGGAAGGCGTGACCCGCACCCACCCTCAGGTGCACGACCGCGCCGCGGTGTTCCCCCGGGCCGAGCCAACTTCCAAGACCCTCAGGTGGGTCGCGAAGCTCAGGTGGTCGCTCCCAAGAGGATGGGCCAGAACACTCACTCTCGGAATCCGAAAGGCGCCACCGCGAACCCGCACAGTCTTCCATGTCATCAAGTTAAAGTACCCCGACGGGTCGAAAGTCAGCGAGTGTTCAGAGCTGGCTCCGACTGGGCGGATGAGGGGCTGCGACAGATGTGAAAGGTCAACGCCCCATTGCCCGTCTCAGCTCCGACTGTCAGCTGCACTCGCGCCCAGCGATCCACCAGCCGAGCCCAGGGCTCTATCTCGTGCCCACCCTCGCCCCACCCGTCAAGCTGCGCCCCCACCCCTCTAAACAGAGGGTTCCCTCCGCACCACCTTGGGCAAGGCCTGTACCTTTAAGAGCAGCTGAGCTTTGGGCACCTTAGAGTAGCAAGGACGAGGGTCATGTGACAGTACGCGTGGGTCCCCCATCACGTGGTCAGAGGTCCTCCTTAGTTCCTGGTTCTCTCTCAGTGTTCGTTTTCGGCCTTGTCAGCTTCAGGGCGTGAGAAAGCGAGAGGCCAGAAGAACTCTGGAACCTCTGGTTTTAAAATGGAGCATGTGGGAGCATCAAGTAGGGGCATGATTAGCCGTGCCTATACCCAAGACCGTATTGTGCCAGTACTTGTCATGGCGTAGGCGGACTCAGCTCCTATCCCGCCGCCCTGATTTGCCAGAAACAAATATGGCTACCTAACCATTCCGTCCCTTGCCCCGCCCTCCGCGCCTTACGCCCGAACTGGTTCTGAGAGCAAAGGCAACTAGCCTTAGGTCATTTTTAGTCTTATCTTTCCCTTACAAACAGTTTTAGAAACCTAAAATAAAGGACTGAGGATGGCAGTAGTAGAGCGCTTGCCTAGAAACCAAAAATAAAGATAACACCTGCCTAAGAAGCTTTCGTGCATTAGCTACTGGCAGTATTCAAGGCGTTTTGAGACCCTTTTTCCAAATTATCCTAAAAGCAAAAAAAATCACGAAGGTAGTCCAACCCCTGGCTTTATGGACGAGAAAAACAAGAAAACAACAAAAAAGTCGACAGTCATAACATTGGAGAAAGGGTAGGTAGCCTTAGAGACCCACTTAACAATAAATAAAGCAGAGGTAGGGCAGTCACTGAGCAGCTGCTGCCACCCCATCGAGGATTCTTAGACCAGGTGATTCTATGAGCTCAACTAGTTGCCCTAACTGGGAATTAGGAAAGGATGAGGAAGGAGGGAGGTGGTTTCATACAGTACCAAGTCCCTTACCTTCCTCTAAGTGGGAGAGCGGGAACTTGCTTCCTCTTCATATCCTTCCCCTGCTGAACTCTGCAGTGGTTTCCAACAGCCTGTGCCCACCTCTGCCAGATCTTTCCCACAACCAGGCCTGCAGACTGCTGTTTGAAATACGCACCCTGTGGTTTTATTCCCAGATCACTCAACCAAGGTGACATGGGGCCTAGAAATTCCCACAGCTTTTCATACATGGCCTCTGCCCTCAAGGCACTCACAGAAGGTGGCAGAGAGACACAAATAACCACAGTACCAAATATAAACAAGTTATGAGGGGATGGACATCAGAGCCACCAATCCAGCCCCTCTGTCCCTTTAGGGAAGCATTACTGACTTGGAAGTGGAAGCCATAGGGCCGCCAGCCCCTTCCTCTCTCCTACTCCTAGTCAGTAGACAAAACAGGAACCAGAAACCCCAGCTTCCTCTCACAGAGTGGTTGTGGCTCTGAGGAGACGGAAATGGCTGAGGTGTGAATACAAGACCTGAGTCACTTGGGCTGCAGTTGCCACATGCCCCCTCCCCGCCCCCCAATACTGAGGTCTCCTAATCCCACTTTTTGCTGTCTGGTCTTGCCCTCTGCCCTTTAACTCCAAATGTGCACCTGAGTCCCTTGGGTTATGCACACCTATGTCTCTGCTGGGGTGGAAGCTGCCTCGGGCATGGGGGAGGGGCTCAGGGCCTGGGGTGTGGATGCGTCAGGGAGAGACAGGGGAAGAGGAAGTGTCTTGGTCCTGAGGAGAACGGGCTTGGTGGGTGGGGACAGTCATTGTCAGCTTTCTGGACACACAGACACAGACAGGATGGACTTCCTCCGGCTACACCTCCCTGGGCTGCATCAGGCCTTGAGGGGGGCACTGGTGAGATGGGCAAAGAGATGCCAGAAACTTCCACCCTGTTCCCTGTGTCCTCACCTTCCCTTCTTCCTTTGAGTCTCTCCTCAGCTTGAGGTCCCTTTCCCAGAGTCAGGCAGCCTCCTAGCCCAGTCTTCTGGGTTTCAATCCCCCACCTCCACAAGCACATCTACACCTCCCCATGTTCAGCCCTTTCTTATTCCTTCTGCAGATCCTGGTCTCCCTTTCCTCGAAGAACCCAGAAACCCTCTTCCTTACTCTGGGCACCTCTGGCCCAGGGCCTTCCCTGAAAGCCTTTCACCGCCCCACCCCCTTGTCTTCTAGGATTCCTTCAGCACCTTTGTGTCCTACCTCATAGGAGATGGAGTCCCCACGGTACAGAGGGAGGCACAGGCGGCAGAGGAGCTGGGGGAGGTGGCTGCAGGAGAGCCAGGGAAGGCTGTAGAGGTCAAAGCCCAGGAGGCCCTGGAGAGTCTTAGAGGGAGCCAAAGTGAGGGAGTTGGAGGGCTGGGAAGGTCTGGAGGAACCGGAAGATGCCAGGAGGGCAGCTCAACTGGTGAGCAGTTCTGGAGGTGGGGAGCAGACAGCTCCCACGGTTCCCAAGCAGATAGGCAGGACACTGAGACCTGGGAGGTGGCCAGGGGCCAGGAGCCAAGTGCCCCCTTGGAAGCTGGGAAGGAGTCTGAGGCAGGGCCTGGGATTTACCGGGACAGGAGCAGTGGAACCTGGAAGAGTCAGGAGCCCGGTGAGCAGGAAGTGAGCAGAGGGGAGATGTTGAGAACCTGGGAACAGCAGGAGGAGGAGGAAGAGGTCAGGGTGACAGAGCCAGGGATGGCTAGAGGGGTGGAGTCACAGTTGACCTGGCACCAGGAGCCTGAGTGGAGGGCAGACACTGATGGGCAGAAGTTGGCAGAAGACAGAAGAGAGACAGAGCAGGTGATCAAGGAGGCCAGTGCAGAAACCAAGGAACCTGGAGCTGAAGGAGCTGGGAGGGGAGAAGAGGGAGTGATCGTGGTGAGGGGTGATGAAAGCACAAGGGTACAGGAGTCACAGGGCCCAGGAATAGAGTCTGAGGACTATGTAACCTCAGGCAGAGAAGAAGCCAGTACAGCCTGGGACAGAAAGGAGGCCAGGACCTCCTCAGGCCAGGAGGAGGCCAGGGCAGCCTCGATCAGGGAGGAGGCTGACCTCCTAGGAGTCAAGGAGACAGAATATAGGTCAGTCCCAGGAGAAGGAATGCCAGAAGCCACTGGGATAGTCTGGGTCCTAGAGGAGGCTCCCATGGGAGACCAGGAGGAAGAGGTATATGAGAAGAAAGAGGATGAGAAGAGAGAGGATGAAACAAGGCTTTTCCCCAGACAGACCCAGGCCCTGGGAATGAAGGGAACAGAGGAGGTGGCTGAGGGCCAGACAGCAGGGAGAGAGGCTACAGGAGGCAAGAAGCCAGAGTCAGGGGATAGCTCTGAGGGTGAGGCTGAGGAGCAAGCTGATGGGGCCAGTCTGGAGGAGGTGGCACAGATAGAGGAGGCGCAGGGGGAGAAGGGGAGTTGCCAAACCGTGGAGCCTGTGCTAGCCATGGACAAGGATGCTGAGATTGAGGCTGATTTGGAGGCAGTCCCAGAGACCAGGCCTGAGGAGGAGTTCATGGGGGAGAAGAGTAAGGAGGCTCAGATGAACCAAAAAATATTGGAGGTGAAGTTTACTGAGGGCCAGGAGCCTGAGCCAATGGGAGGCACCCAGACCCCAAATGAGCAACCTGAGGAAGGACAGGGGGGTCAGCACAAGCTTGGGAGAAACCTGGGCCTGTGCAAAGAGGAGGCAGAAAGCAGGGTGGAGGCACACCTCAGGCTGGTGGCAGAAACCTTGGAAAACCAGAAGAGAAGGGATGTGGAGAGCAGAAATGCCCAAGAAGAAAAAGCAGGTACTGAAGGCACAGAGGAGGCAGCTGCAGGAGACCAGGCACTGGAGGCCAAGGCCGAGGGAGGCCAGGAGTCTGAACTGTCAGAAGTCCTGGGATGTGGAGCAGAGGAAGGCCAGGCCTCTGTCTCAGAGAACCAGGAGCTGGAGGGACACCAAGGGGCAGAGGCAGAGGCAGGGCCAGGCCAGTCACTGGAAGAGTCAGAGGCCGGAGAAAGCAAGTTCAGTGAAATGGAGACTGCAGTACCATGGGAGACAGACAGAGTATCCAGGGGAGGCTGCAAGCTGGAGGAGGCAGTCCTGAGCCTCCAGGACAGCAAGGACCCACAGACCAGTTCTTTGTCTGCTGAGATTGTGAAGGAAGCCCTTCCACACAGGGCTGCTGGGGCTGGGGAAGGACCAGACCAGGAGGCTGGGGTGGCTTGGGAGGGGGCATTTGAAAGAAGCTGGGACTCTGAAGGAAGAGAGGAGGCTGTGGAGATAGAGAACCAAGGTGGGCAGGAAGTTGGCTCAGTGGGCTCAGCAGAGGAGGAGGCAACTGACCACAGTAGCCAAGCAGAGGCTAGTGAGGCCAGGAAGGAAGAGCAGGCAGAGGTGGGGGGATCCACCATGACAGAGAGAAGCAATGAGATGGATGGCGTTACGTCAGTCTCTCAGGGAGCGAGAACAGAGAGAGACACAGCCATGGTGGAGGCTGAGGGGCTCCTCGGAGAGCAGATGGTATTGGAAGAAGAGACTGAGGGAGAGCAAGTGAGAGAGCAGAGGAAAGGCAGTAAAGACCATCATGAAAAGGAAGAGACACAAAGGCTGCTAGATGCGGAGGACATCATGACTAGAGGCCAGATGCCAGAGGCCCAGCAGGCTGGTCCAGGCCTAAAGGACATCCAGGGCCAGGAGGAGCAGCCTGCACACCAAGTGCCTGCAGAAGCCGGTCTTGGGTCCTCAGAGACGGCCGAGCCCTTGGAAAGTACCAGAGGGGATACTGACAGCTGCTGGAGTGAGGTGAGGGCTTGGGCGGGGTCCAGGGAGGTGCAAGAAGAACCTGGAAGCCAGCTCCACAGTCCCCTCTATCCCCTACTCTGCAGGCACTGCTCCCCGGATCCCGCCTGGACGTCTCTGTCCCACGGAGCCGCGTGCTCCTCTCACGAAGTTCATCACAGCGACGCTCGAGGCCCTCTTTCCGTCGGACCCCTGCCGCTGAGCAGCAGGAGGACTCTCCCTGCCCCCAACCTGAGGAGGGGCTGTTGGCCCCTGAACAGAGACCTCTGCAGTCAGAGGAAGCCCCAGAGCACAGCCCCCCAAGGCCTGAAGGGACCCCAATACCAGCCAGACGAAGGCCGCTGGGCCATGGGTAGGCAAGGGGGCACTGCACTGCACTGGGGTGGGAAGGAGGCTGCAGACCCCTGGACCAGTGCCCACTAGTCTGTCTTCCATCTCCAGGTTTGGCCTTGCTCACCCCAGCATGATGCAGGAGCTGCAAGCCCGAATGGGCCGGCCCAAGCCCCAGTGACTGGGACTTGACCTCTCCGTGAGCCAGGGCCTGAGGAAGGATCGGAAGGTTCTGCTAGGCCCTGCTCAACCCCGACTCCCTCACTGTGGTCCTCAGTTTCTTGGTGCACAGACACCTGTGAAGGCATTGTACTTAAGGAGCCTGATTCTCTAATGCAGGCTGGTGGTTCACCTGCCCCACTAGGGCCTCCTGTCATGGGTCCTGCATCGGATGCCTCCCCAGTTGGTCTGAACTGCCCAGAGATAGCAAGGAAGGCTGGGGGTCGGACACCATTGTCCCACTATTGTCCCTTTCTGGCCCCCACACTCCCACCCTGCCCAGTTCCATGGAGTTGTATAAGATAGTGTACCACCGGGGTGGAAGCCAGCCCGCAGAAAAGTTCAAAGGGCCTGGGGCCGCCGCTTGGAAACAAAGGGCCACAGGTAGCAAGCTAGCTGCTTTGAATTTCCAAAATGCTAACTCAGTCTCAGAATTCTGCTGATTATTCTGGCAACCACCAACTGAGCAGGTCAGAGTAAGGGAAGATGAGTTGGCAACCCCAAAAATGTGGGAGCTGAGAAAGAACTGGGTGGCTAGAGGGTACCAACTCCATCTCAGGCCATCCTGCCCTTTGGGTGTCAGGCATTCTCTTGCGTAAAGACTCAGAGACACAAAGAGGGCGAGGGTTTTATTAGATGCCCAGCATGGTAGCCCAGTCCAAGGATGAAACAATAAATAAACCGTCGTCTCCCTAAACAATAAATAAATATCCAAGAAATAAATATGTGACAAGGACTGGAGGGATTTTAAAGTACTGGGTGGGGGCTGTGGCTGGTAGAGTCCTGCCCAGTCTGAAGCAGTTGAGTTGGAGACTGTCTTTTTGGCCAAACTCCAGTCCTAAAGTCTTAGAAGGATAAGGGAATGAGCTAAAAGGTCACTCCATCAGGGTTGGGAGTCAAATGTTGGGAACCCCAAGCCAGGCCCAGATGTCCTGTCTTGGACAGCAGCAATAAGTCCCGAACTGCCCGAGACAGAACAAGCTCCAAGGAGCGCAATAGCTTGTAAGTGTACAGCAGCTGGGGCCAGGACACTTGGGCTGACACCTGTACGGGGCTGCCCAGAGCCCCTGAGGGCTCCTCCTCTTCTTCCTCCTCCTTCTCCTCTGGGAGGTTAAATCCTGCAGCCAGCACCTGTGAGAAGAGACCCCCACATCACACAGAGCCCAGGGCAAGAACCTGAGCAAGTCTTTGTTCCTTGGACATGCCCAATGGCTCCTAATATCAGTGACCATGAGTTTCCTGGACAATGCTGTCCTCTCAGGTCTTACCTGGTGTTTTGGTTCAAGAAAATGGAAGCCATGGAGCATGACCGTGCTCACAGAGTTGGGTTGCTCCCCCATGACTGTTCTGGGGCTGTGGTATAGGAAGTTCCTCTCTGCCTTTAAGGATTATCGGGAAGGGGCAGAAAAGGATCAGGAAGGGACAGAGGACTGACGTAGCTGATTTCCACACTGCTTGCATTTTCTATTCTCCTTTCATTAAGTGAAAAATTTCTATTGTCCTTTGAAATGCTCAGAAGAATTGGGGTGATGTCAGAGAATCAGACGGAGAAGCGAAGCAACCAGACTTTAGGGACTGCTGATACTGATGTCATCCTGGGTCTGGGGCCCTTCTCTCGTTGGAGACTAGCCCCTGAGATCAGGCGAAACTGGGGGTGGAGGTGGGTGGCAGAGCAGGCTCTGATGCAGCTACATGTGTAATTCACTCTCTCACACTCACTCAGAAGGCCTGGAGCATCTCCCCCAGATTTCCCCAACTTGGGAACAGGGGGATTTTTTTTTTCAGTAGTACTGGAGTTTTGAACTCAGGACTTTGTGCTTGGTAGGCAAACATTCTACCACTTGTTTTTTCCCCTGCAATACTGGGGTTTGAACTCAGGGCTTACACCTTTAGCCATTCCACCAGTCCTTTTTTGTAATGGGTTTTTTCCAGATAGGGTCTCACAGACTATTTGCCTGGGTTGGCCTCGAATCCCAATCCTCCTGATCTCTGCCTCCTGAGTAGCTAGTATTACAGGCACGAGCCACCAGTGCCTGGCAATGCTCTACTACTTAAGCAAGGCCTCCAACTCTTTTGGCTTTAGTTATTTTTCAGGTAGGGTCTCACACTTTTGCTCAGGTCTAGCCTCAGACCACTATCTTTCTACCTATGCCTCTCAAATAGCTGGGATTACAAGCATGTACTACCATGCCTAGTGGGAAGATTTTTTTTAAAAAGGGAACCAGTGAGCCTCACTTTTGTGCGTGGGTCTCTGGGCAGAGGGGAGGAGCTCTACCTGGAAGCGGAGATGCCGCTGCAGGTCCCGAAGATCCAGCCTGGTGGCCCACAACTGCATTTTCTCTGAGCTGGTCCAGCCCTCTTGACCCCTCAGCCTTCCCAGCAGGGAATGGAAGGGCTGAAGGCTCGTGGAGAGGAAGCAGAGTCGCTCTGGGTCCTGTGAAGAGGAAGGGTAGGGTCAGTGAAGGCCTGCAGGCCAAGGATGGCCCCATCAAACCCCATTTCATTTCTGTCTGGTTTCATTCCCACACAAGCCTCCAACCTCCATTCCATCCTCCAACTCATTCTTATCCTCAATCCCGTCTCTATCCCCCTCCCTGTCCCATTCTCACTGGCATCTCCATTGCCTTTGACCTTTAGTTCACCTGTTCTCCAGCCTATGCACACCCTCTCTTTAACTCAACCCCAGTCCCACCATTCTTCATCCACGACCCCATTCCACTTCCTCCTCCACCATCCCATCTTGTCTCTTGCTTGTTAATCATTTGTTTTCTCCTTTTTATTCATTTATTTTTTTTGAGACAGAGTCTCACTATATTTAAGGCCTCAAACTTATCACTGGCCTCAAACTCATGACCCTCCTGCCTCATCTTCCCCAGTGCTGGGATTACAGTCATGCACCACCATGTGCAGCTGCTCACTTGTTTTCATCCTGTCTCCCACCTGACTCCCATTCAAAAATCCCAACTCCATGCCTTCTCCACACACATATTGTCCCATCTCACCTCCATCTCATCCCTTCTCCATCCCCCACTTGGCTTTAGCTCCTCATCTCTAGCTGGTGTCCATTCCCATTTCTGTACACAACCCCAGCCCTTTTCTATACTAATTGTTATGCCCCACCCCACCCATTCCCCTGCCCATCTTCATTCCTATCCTATTCCTGACCCCATTTCCAAATTCCAGCTTGATCCAGCGATATACTCAACCTCATCCAGATTCTGTCTCCAAGTTCATCCTCCATCCATTTCCTATTTTGTCTGTGCTCCATACCTTATTGCCAGCCCAGCCTTACTGCAGCTTCCCAGCCTCCCCCTCTCCCAATTCCTTACTCACAGAGAGGTGACGCCAGGCCTGGAAGGTCAGGGATACATTGGGGAGCTGCTTTCCCAGGGGCAACAGGTCCAGACTCACTCCTGGCAGATGAGATTCAGCCTGGGGGGCAAAGTCTGTTAGAGGGGACCAGAGGGACTTGGGGGCTTCCCCATCCCCAGAGCAATCTGCATTAAAGAGACTCACAAAGCGGTGGGCCTGGCCCTGAACCTCGGACAGCAGCTTCCTGGCAAGATGCAGGCTGACTGTGAACTCCCTGTGTAGCTCCTTCAGGCTCTGGGGGGGCCTTGGGAACCCCCAGACACCAGCTTGCACCAGGAGCAAGGAAAGCAGCAACAGGCTGAGCCCTAGGAAAGGGAGAAGAGAAAAAAAGAGAGCTTGAGAAGAGTTGGGGCGGGGGAGGGAAGGGAGTAAGCACTTCCCAGTGTTTCTCCCTCCCTCCCTTCCTCCCTTCCTTCCTTCCTTTCTTCCTTTCTTCCTTCCTTCTTTCCTTTCTCTCTCCCCCTCTCTTTCCTCCCCCCTCCTCATTCCTTCTCTCCCTATTCCCTCCACCAGCTTGAACTCACAGGGTTTGAACTCAACTTGGGGGTCCTTGTGATTGCTAGATAGGCACTCTACCACTTGGAGCCATGCCCCAGCTATGTGGTCACTTTCATAGGCATCTTCAAACTGCCCACTCAGAAGCATGATGGGGACTGTCAAGACCAACCTATGGCATCTTCACGAAGTGCCCACTTCTGCAAGCAGATTAATGGCTGGATCTTGATCCCCACTAATTCCCTTGACTATATGCCTTTCTCAGTACACAACCTGTACCGAGAAAGCCTGGTTTCTAAAATTCTCTGCAACCATGTAGCAGCCTGGTTGCTAAAATTCTCTCCATTTTGCAGAGGAGGAAAGTGAGGCTCAGTGAACTTGACTGGTCCAAGGTCAGATACCCAGAAGGAGAGGGAGCCAGGGCTGGATTCCAGATCTGTTCAAACACTTTCCTGCTTCCTCAGAGGATGAAGGGAGGCAGTCATCTGCTCCAAGAATGGGTCTCTCTGTTCTACCAAGGATTCCTCAGGGTTAGCCAAGCAGCTCTGGTGCTTTGAACTGGCTCCCAAGGGCCCGGGGATGGCCTGGTGATATGGGTGGCTCTATCCTAGGGAGTCAGAAGGACAGGTTGGTCCAGCCTCCTCCACCTTTGTAGCTGGAGCCTGCCTGGGGCGAATCTGCAGAGTGGGGATAGAAGGGACTGTGAGGGGAGGGCAGCTGGGAATGGGAGTGAGGAACAGTTTCTCAACCTGGTCTCTCCTTGAGCAAGTCACCGCTCTGTGCCTCAGGCCCCCTGCTTGTGAAGTGCAGGAGTAGGGCAAGCTGATTCTAAGGGTGCTTCAAGCCCCGTGTTTTCCTGGAAAGAGGGAAGCAGGGCTGTGGGGTGGGGTCTTGGGAAGAAGTCAGTGTTCAGTGGTTTCTCCCTTGGGGAGAGGAAATCTAGCAATTACGGGAGTTACACAATTCCTCTCGAAACCCAAACCAAAACTGACCCCTGGTCCACTCCTGCTCTCCCTCCTCTCTGGGCCCCTTGTGTGTCCATCTGTGATCTCTAACCCCAAGCTCTGCTCCTCCAAGTGCCCTCAGCAAAGGCTAAGTGGGCTTTTGGGGCCATGTGCTGTCCCCATGGACTTGCAGATGGAGTGCCTAATTGAGATCTCTGACATTCCGGTTTCCTGAGTAGCTTGGGGGCCACCCTGACCCTCTGGCATCCTGGAGACTTAAGGCAGAATAGGATTCTTCCTAGTTCTAGGATGGGGACAGACTGGATACCTCCATGCCCATCCAGCCTGAGTTATGACGCCTTGTACCTGCTCCCTCCTGCCTGAGCTCTGGAGCCCCCAGGCCCTCCATATCGCCATCCTGGGTTCTTGTGCTTGTCATTAAGGCTCTGTCTTCATCCTTCAGCCCTTGGCCCTATGTGGCCCTGTCATCTGCTCTTTGTCCACAGCTCCAGCTTCCACATTCTTCAGCCACCAACTCTAGACTGGACCTCCTTCCAAACTGGTCACAGTCCCCCAGCTCCCTAATAAGTAAAGACCTTTGACCCAATTGGGCTGATGGCTACTGGCCTGAGCCCCCACCGTGCAAGCTTTGCCTCTAGCCAAGCCTTGTACTCAAACTCCTTCACACCACATCCTTCATTTTTCTGCCCAGTCCTGGTCCTGTTCAGATCACCTGTCCAACCCTGGCTGTTCATGCCAGTCCTGTCCCACCCTGCCTAGCCTGGGTGGAAGCACCTCTCCACTGCCCCAGCCCCCACCCCACTCACACCAGTCTCATGGCCGGTGTCCAGCTGTCCATGCTCAGAGTCTAGGCCAAGCTGTCACCCCTCAGTCCTTGACCCCACCCCACCTATCAAGCTCTCCCATCTGTGACCCAGTCTCCACCAAGCCTCCCACCCCTCCACCCAGGCCCAGTCTCTGACTCACGCCAGCCAAGGTCTCCTGCCGCCTGGCCCATGTCAGGGCCCAGCCTGTGTGTGCAGCCATCTCCTGGGTAGGGGGGTCTTATACTGGGGGCTGCACCCGGTTTCACTTTCTGTCCTGCTTGTACTTTCAGCTTTGTTACTTCAGTCTTCCCTGATCACTCCCCTTGCTAAAATGGGGAAATGTAATTTCCCTTCCCAGGGCGGAGCAGGGGGAATGGGGGTGGCGGGAAGCTGGGGTTTCAGTCCATCCAAACTCTGTACCTAATGCTCTGCTCCTAGCCCCAGCCTTCCCTTAAGTCCCTGCTCCTGAGCAAGCCACCTAGCTTTGCCGAGTGGTGGAGTCCTGTTCTCTACTCTGTCACCATCATCCAAGAGCCATTGCCTCTCCACTGTCCTGTGAAAGATGGACAGCCAGGTAAGGGGATTGCCCACATGGGGGGACTTGGGGCTTTTGACTCCTCCTCCTCCTCTTTGTTTACCAACTGGCTGGGGCTGTGTGGGGAGTCAGAGCTCTGGAATGGTTGGAGGAGTCTTTGGGGGCAGGCAGGAGTTCAGTCTGATGCCTTTGGGCTATAACTAGGCTCCAGGCTGGAAGAGACCAGGCCCAAGGCCATGTCTGTCACTAGGGTCTGCTCCATCCAAGGCCAATGGCTCAGCTTTTGACCAGAGTCATATATAGGAGTAGGGTTCAGCCTATCTCCATATAGGATTAGGGTAAGGACTAGGGTTGAACTCAGAGCCTAGTCTGGGGCCAGCATCCCAGCTCTGTCCATGTTTGGGGCCAGAGGTACCAATAACCTGGGCCTCTATTTGTGGTGATCAGTGTTGGGCTTAGAGCTTCGTCAGGAGTAGAGCTCAGTCCATGACCAAGGGTCTGAGTGAGGCTGTGACTCAGTGAGGATTCAGGCTTAGGCTAGAATAAGAGCTTAGTCAATGCCCAGGACCAGGGCTCAGTCTGTGGCCAGGCTGGGGCTGTATGAGGTTAGGATCAGGGCATAGCTAGGACCCACAATAACCCCCATGCTTCTGCCTTCGGAAACCACTTCAGAGCTAGACCATCAACCCTAGTGCTCCCTTCCAGCACAGTCCCGCCCTCAGCCACACCCTGGATTTCCCATCTTCAGGGAGAACATGGGGGTTTCTTGGTCTTCCCCAAGCTGCCACTTTCCTTTTGGGACTTGTGGGGTTTCCCTGCTAGGTCCCTGCTGTGAGACAGAAACCAAGGGGACTTCCCCTTCCTGTACTCTGCCTCTTCAGCCCTGCTTGGGTGCTGCCCATCGGGGCCACCTTGGATGAAGTGCCAGGGAAGTACCAGCAGGGTGGGGAGCCATCTAGAGGGCTATGGAAAAGGAAAAGGAAATGAGACTGGAGCGCCCCAACCTGGCCAGGTTTCCCTAGCAGCGTCCCCCGCTCCCCAGTGATGGCAGCTCCTTCCTTCTCTTCCTGTGCAGGAAAAGCTCCCTACTGTGGGCTGAGAGACACAAACTGATGGTGAGGCCTCTGTTGAGGTCTAGCTGTTCTTCCACATGCTTCCATGGCCATTCCACTCCCCCACCCAACCCCGTCATTGACCCTCAGCTCTCCCTCCCACCCCTCCATCAGTCACAGCCTTGGCATCTCTCACATTCTGAACCCGATCTCCTCTCTGACCACAGCCTCCTGGTCCTTCCAACCTTCTCTTAGAGCTCTCTGACACTCCCGTCCCTGTTCATCCTCTGCTCTTCACTGGAGGCAGCTGATTCCTCCATCTTTGCCCCCATCCTCATGCCATTCCTCTCCAGCCCCTTTGCACTTGTCTGGGAGGGCCCACCTCAGCCTTAAAGCCGTTCCATCTGCCAGAATGTCCCCACCATCTTCTTGGGCTCACTCTATCCTGGTTCACAACCCCTATTGCCCTAGAACAAAGACCCATTCCTGCCTCAGGGCCTTTGAACTTCCTCCTGAAAGAAACTTCTTCCAGATATCTGTAGAGTTCACTCTCTCCTTAAGGTCTATGCTCCAACATTACTTTTCCAAAGGGAGCCTCCAACTGACCACCCTGTGAAAAAATGCAACCTTGCCCCAACATTTCCCTGCATTATTTTATATAACATTTGCCTGTTTGTTTTCGTCTGTCTCCATGCATTAGCCTATGGGTTCCATGAGGGTGGGAATTTCTGCTTATACGGTGCTTCCAATAATAGGAGGCTCATTTTCTTCTTTTTGGTGATACTGGGGTTTTAATTCAGGGCTTCACACTTGCTTGGCAGGTGCTCTACCCTTGAGTCACACCCAAAGCTCTTTTTGTTCTTGTTATTTTGGAGATGGGGTCTTGCTTTTTGTCCACACTGGCATCAGCTGTGATCTGTACGTGAGATGACAGGCTTGCACCACTATGCCCAGCTTTTTGCCACTGAGATGGGGTCTCAGGAGGTATTTTGTTGTTGCTGTTTGTTTACTTGTTTTGGGCCAGGCTTAGAACCGTGATCTTCTGGAGCTCAGCCTCCCATGTAGCAGCTATTGGTTGAGATGGGGTTTCACGGACTTTCTGCTGAGCTGGCCTGGAACTGCAATCCTCTCAATCTCAGCCTCCTACGTAGCTAGAATTAGGGCTGGTGAAATGGCTCAAGTGTACAGCACCTGCCTAGCAAGTGTGAGGGCCTGAGTTCAAACCCCAGTACCGAAAAAAAAAAAACCCAAAAAAACAAAACAAACAAAAATCCATGCTCAAGTATTAGGATTACAGGTATGGGCTTATTTATTTATTTATTTATGGTGGTGCTGGGATGGGACTGGGGCATGCTAGGCAAGTGCTCTACTGCTGAGCCATGTCCCCAGCCTTAGGGGCACTTGACCACTGTTAAGTAAAAATGTGTGTACTGCCACAAGAGGGCTGGTGATTTCATAAGTCACCTGGAAGGAGCAGCAGGATTGAGTGATCTGAGCCCTGAGATCATCATCAACCTTCTGTTCCAGCCCTGGCCACGTGCTGCAGAAATGAAAAGGGAGCATCTGACTGCCTCCATATTCTTGAGGTGAGCCTTGAGCAGTCTCTGGTTACCTGGGCCTCCGTTTCCACAAGTGGATTCTTGGTGGATGGACTGTGGCTTGGGCTGGCGCCAGTGGGAAATGGAAGGGATGTGGCTGAGGGGTGAAAAGGGGAAGAAAGGAAACAGGAAACCTGGGGTGTGGACTCCAGTGGGTAGCCAACCCTTTGGGTGACCTCAGGTGAGTCACTGGCTTGCTGTGGACCTCAGTTTCCTCATTGAAACATGACAGCAATTTCCAAGGGTTGCCACTATTACTTAGAAAAATCAAAGCTGGGTGGTAAAACAAAACAATCCAAAACAAAAAGAACCATTTTGGTTCTTTCTCAAGCCTGAGGGGTACTTTAGGGGCTTGCTCAGAGGTGGCACTTAGATGCTGCAGAGGTGACTTCAGGACAGCCTTGGAAGAGGGACTCTTTATTTATTTATTTATTTATTTTTGATGGTACTGGGGTTTGAACTTAGGGCCTCACACATGCTAGGCAGGTACTCTACCATGTGAGCTATTCCTGCATCCCAGAGGGAGAGTCTTATTCGAGACACAGAGCAGAGCAGAGCAATGACAGAATGAAGATTAGAACTTGGGTCCCCTGTTTCCAGCTTAGGCTGAAGGGGAATCCCTGGGCCTTGTGATGTCAGCTCCTAAATTTGGAAGTAACCTTGGACAAAATCAAGATGACTCCTGGGGAAGGCAGGAAGGCAGGGCAGGGGAGATATGGGAGCCAGACTCACCTGGAGGCTTCCAAGGCAGATGGAAAGACTCTGACACTAGCACAGCATCTCTTCTCTGGATGAGGCCCCCAGGCCCTCATACCATACTGGGCCTGGACTCCATCAAGCCTGGAACTCTGGAACTCTCCATCTTCATCTCCCAATGCTGGGATCACAGAAATGCATTGCCATACTCAGCTAGGATTTTTTTTTGTGGTACTGGGGCTTAAACTCAGGGCCTACACCTTGAGCCACTCCACCAGCTCCTTTTTGAGATGGGTTTTTTCTTTTTCAAGATAGGGTCTTGCAACTGTTTGCTGGGGGCTGGCTTTGAATTGTGATCCTTCTGATCTCTGATCTCTGTCTCCTGAATATAGGATTATAAGCATGAGCCATCAATGCCCAGTTTAGAATTTTTTTTCTTTTTTTGGTAGTATTGGGGTTTGAACTCAGGGCCTGAAGCTTGCTAGGCAGGCGCTCTACCACATGAGCTATGCCCTCAGCTCTTTTGCTTTAGTTATTTTTCAAATAAGGTCTCATGGACTACTAACCTCTTATCTACACTGCCTGTGTAGCTGGGATTACAGATGTGCACACCACACTCAGCTTATTGGTTGAGGTAGGAGTCTCCTTGATTTTTTGCTTGGGCTGACCTCAAACTGTGATCCTTTCCATCTCTGCCTCCT